TGCTGAACATGCTGTCTTTCCTCCAGTTAATGTTCTTGGCCCCTTTGTCAAATATCAGGTGGCTAAAATTGCAATTACTCATATTTGGGTCTTCAATTTTGTTCCATTGGAAAGCATAACATTTTGGAGACCATTTAAGTCACAAAGTAGTATTGAAACAAAATTTTCTCCAAATGAATAAAAGTGACCAAAGATTTTGAAATTGCCTCCCTCATAGCTTTTTTAGAGAACAAAATTATTTAAAAAGAAGTGAAGTGCATATATTTTTGTTATAATTGATCCCAATTTGTACATTTAAAATAGCTCACAACATGGTGTAGGTAATTTAAATGCTAATGAATGACCATGGTTGATATAAAATGAATACAACAAAGACGTAGGGGAGGTCTGTGTAGGTGCTGACCATTTTTAGTTTCCATTATTGTATCTGAGGGGTTTGCTTTTCAGGATGGAAAATTCTTAAGAATGATGGTTAACAGCAGTAGAGTGACATGAAGCCTTTCAGTAAGAATTCATTTTCCAGAGCCTTCACTGGGAAAATCCCCTTTCGCTAACTGGATGTAGATTTGTCTTCACTGGAGCAGTATGGTAAGACCAGTATAATCAACAGTACTAAAGAGTTTTTATCAGCCACCCCCTTCTGGACATGATAAGATATTAAAGAAATGGCAAGTATTGGGACCACAAATAATGGGGTTTTACAGATTTGAAAAATTTTGAGTCTTTCAATTTTTAAAAATTTTATTTATTACTTTTATTTTATGTGTATGCGTGTATTGCCTGCATGTAGGTAAGTGCACTCATGTTGTACAATGCCCACGAAGGTCAGAAGAGGCTGTAGGATCCTCTAGGAATGGAGTTGCAGACAGTTGTTAGCTGCCATGTGGGTGCTGGGATTCAAACCCAGTTCTTCTGTTAGAACAACCAGTGTTCTTAACTGCTGAGCCATCTTTCCAGCCCCTGGGTCTTTCAATTTTTTAAAAATAGAGATTAAGGACTATTCATATAAAGTAGCACCAATTTGCCTCATTCTCTTCCTTCATGCATTATCAAAATATGCAATTTCCTAGTTTGTTTACTTGCATATCATGTCTTTCCGACCAGAATGAGCGTTCCATGTCTTATTAACTGCTGTATACCACTCACAAGTTTGGTGCTCCACAAATACTTGTTGGATGAGAATTGTGAATGAGCAAATCAATCAGTCAATATTTCTTTCCTTCAAGATAATGAAATGGATACTTCCAAGCTTTGAGGGTGACACATATGATTGCTTTAAGAAAAGCAGAATAATGGAAAATAAAAGAAGACTTAGCATATGATGTGGTGGCTTTTGATCAATTGACCTTCCCAAAGGCAGTGAATGCTGGGGCAGCTGGTTTACTGAGAATGGCCCAGACATAGCCTCTTTAGCTGGTGGCTCAGCACACATCTTCCAGAGTGTGCCAGTCAACTTTCTGTTATAACAAAGTACAGATATAATCATTGTAAAGAGAAATGGTTTACATCTGCTTACAGCTATGAGGGTTTCAGCCTAGGGTTAGTTGGTCCCACTGTTTTGAGCCCGTGGTGCCACAGCATACTGTGGCAGGAGCATGGGGTAGAGAAAGCTGCTTACTTTATGATGCCTGGGAAGTCAATGACCGAGGAGGAAGGGCCTGAGCCCACTATCCCCCTCAAAGGCATGTCAGCAATGATTTAACTTCTTCCCATTAATCTTTGCCTCTTAAAAGTTCCACCATCCCTTGATAACACCACGTAGAGGACCAAAACTTAACACATGGGCACTTGGTGGACATTCCAGACACAAGCTGTAGCAGAGGGTATTATTAGGTGTGACATGGAGACAACCCATCGTACATACAGTCAAACACCTGACTAAGATGCTAAAGCAGCCAACCTTTGCTTTTCCAGTACTTTCCTGTCATGGAAAGTTTGAATCACAGGACTGTCATGTTCACAGTTTGATTCCTTCATCCCATTATGTCTATGAAGATCCTTTGTTTGGTTTTAGCCAGAGTGGGTAAGAGCCACCTCAGAACAACTATAGAAATCTTGAAGAGCCTATTTTGTTAAACTATGACTAAGTTGAGCATAAGGGCCATAGTGACCTGCATTTCTTTCTGTATTCTTTGGACAGTGTAGCCTGGTGATCACATTTTGTTCCTAGGCTGCTCAAAATCAAGTCAGAGCTGCTGAGCTCATCTCAGATTTTCCTCTTCATTTCCAACTGTTGAGAGTAAAAATTGGCTTGCTCTAATCATTAGAAATTATTATAAAACTAAATTATTGTTTGTCCATTGGTTTAATATGGTATTTAATATGTCCCCAAGGACAAGGAGACTGGTTGATAAACACTGAAGTTTACCAGAAATACTGCAGAAGACCTCAAACTGGCAAAGGCAGCCAGAGTCCAGGAGGGAAAAATGAGTGTAGCAGGAAGTACAGCCAATGTGAACGGAGATGAACCGGTCTTACAGAGGCCAGGTTCTCAAAAACCAGTATGGTCGTTTGAATACTTACCTCTTAGAGATAATTAGGTAGTTGAAAATGATCCTGCCACTCTGCCTTTTTAACTTCTGTGTTTTGTTTTGTTGGTTTCTTATGATAGGTGTCACTATGAGCCTCTTGTTTCCACTTCCTGAGATTCTTTTGTAGTTCTGAGGACTATCTCTTCTTGCTTTGAGCCTTGGGTTCAGATTTCACCTTTCACCTTCCAGTTGAAGTTTAGGATGAGGAATTATAGATCCAGAAGCTTTAACATCCAGGAAGGAAGTGCTCCCATCAGCCTCTTAATCACACAACATTTTCCGAGAGTGTCAGTCTACTCAACCTTGTTCCTTGACCATGACTGATCCTAGCTCCATTGGAGTCTGTGTTCCATAAACTGGCTTGGATAAATCAGTCATAGATCATGGTTAGCTAGATGGGCACTCACTTTAAACAATGGTTATGTTATGTGAAAATGATAACAGAAGATCAACATAAGGAAACTTAAAAAAGTATAGGAGAGGGGGCTGGAGAGATGACTCAGCTGTTAATAGCACTAGCTGCTCTTGCAGAGGACCTGGGTTCAAATCCCAGTACCTACATGGCAGCTAACAACCATCTGTAACTCCAGTTCCAGGGGATCTGACGCCCCCTTCTGACCTCCATGGGCATTGATTGCATGACATGGGTGCACTTACCTACAATGCAGGCAATAGACATACACATAAAATAAAAATAATAAACAAAATATTTAAAAAGTATAGGAGAACTTGTTAGAAGAGACGAGAGGAGATATTTCTTAAAAGTCAGGATTTTTCAATGTAAATACTGGGAGGGGCTTATAGAAAAAACTTGACATTTGCTCTAAAAGTAAGATAGATGCTGCTAAATCTGTGTGCTCAATGAATCTTCCTTTTGAGATTGGATTAAGTGTCTTTGAAAACCTGTTGAAAATAATTAAGTTCTCCCTAGAAAAGAGTTGTCAGATGTTTCTGTACTTCAATACTTAAGAAGCTCTATCCTGATTGAAGATGATGTAACTAACACTTAGGGAAGAATGAGGTTGGGGAAATGAAGATCATCAGGAATGAGCTAGGGAAAATACCCATTAACAGTTCCAGTAATATGTGTAAAATGTGTGTGTGTGTGTGTGTGTGTATGATTTCTGTTGGATTCACTCCTTTTTAAAGCATTTTATCTATTTTTATTTTTTATGTGTACGAGTGTATTGCCTGCATATACATACCCATGTTGTATAGTGCCCAGAGGTCAGAAGAGGGCATCGGATCCCCTGGAACTGGAGTTACAGATGGTTGTTAGCTGCCATGTAGGTGCTAGGAACCAAACCCAGCTCCCCTGCAAGAGAAGCCAGTGCTTTTAGCTACTGAACCATCTCTCCAGCCCCACTCTGGACTCATTCTTGACATATAGCAGCCATTCAGTAAAGACTTGCCCCAGGAAAAGATGACAGCCCAGTTTCTGGGTAATTCAAGGCTCTATGCAGTGTTTAGAAGGAAATGATCTATCTTGAGTAGAGGAGTATGCTATACTGTGGTGAGGAAGTTTGCTGCTGTTTCTGAGCTTTGCCTTTCGAGGAGTTTAAGGAAATAGTTTAGCTGCAAGATGGAATTTCAGTGTGTTCCTGCATAATCCCTCTTGGGGAAACTTGGGTTGGCACCTGGTTATGTTGTGACATTTGCATGGGAATATTTCTATGGGGAACCATGACTCTTTCCCATGGCTCTTGTTATTCAGAAAAGTATAGGTATCCACTACCTAACTCTCACATTAGTCCAAAGTGAAGCTGAATAACTCTATGGAAATCTTGTTGGTTGCAGAAATCAGGACCCTTGTTTATAAACAGTAACAGGTGAGAAAGAGATCAAGATTTCAATAGGCAGAAGGAATACCCAGCCTTGGAGCATATCCTGCAGCCTGTTCAAATACTTATCCCATGAGAAATAGCAGCCTTCTTAATCCTATAATCATCTCTATCATCATCTTTTCCCAATGCTCCAAGCAATGGTGTATTATTTCTAGTCAGCTAATGTGGGATGCTAATTAGCACATTATTTGTGTTGACTTCTCTGCTCATAATGATTAATGTCTTGGTAAGGCTTTAATACAACAAAATGTTTTCTCCCCTTATCCAAAAGCTTAGGGCCAGATAGGAGCTAATCACTAGAGTTCAACAATAGAAAATTTAATTCAGAGAATCAGACATTGTATGAGAAGCAACACAGCTCCAGCAGATTGTGTAGAGAGAAAATGCCCAAGAGGTCCAGAGGTATGAACATGTGACTTGTGGCTGGGAGCAGTTCAACTTCTCTTGAACAAGGATGCTTGTGTTATGATTTCTCATCTGATTGATGATAATGTGCTTGGATGTCTGTGAAACTCAGAGTGATGATCTTTTCCCATTTGCTGTAATTCTCACAAACTTCTAATGACTGAACTGCTGCCGAGGCATTGGTTCTTGTGCTCAGTGTGGGATTGGTCCATCTTGGCTGCGATAGCAGTACTCAGTTACACTGAACAGTATGTGTAATTGAAGTCAGACTTGCTAATTTCAGTAACTTGGCCCAAGGTTCATGCTTGCTGTTTTGGATAAACTAGAACCTGAAGATATCTGAACACAGTTCTAGAGAAATAACCAATTTGCTAGCATACTATTTTCAATTATAGGTGATTAATGTGCTTTCCTTAGTTTGAAAGCACAATAAATATTGAGACTAGAAGCAACAGAGTTATATTGAAAACACAAAGTGGTGGTGGTAGAGGGTGGGCTGGAGAGATGGCTCAGAGGTTAAGAGCACTGGCTGCTCTTGCAAAGGACATGGGTTTGATTCCCAGCACCCACATGGTGGCTGACAACCATCCTTAACTCCATCTTCTGGCCTCTTTTTGAAAATATCTTGAAGAGTTCTCTTTACTTTTTTCTACATTTTTTCTTTACATTTCCATATTGCATTTCAAGTCTTTTTTGTATATTTTTTAATTGAATTTTTGTGTATTTCATATAGAACATCTATAAAATAAAATAATGGTGTTAGAATGGGCTAAGGAGGAAAAAATGGTAGAATTAAAAACCCAGTAAGTAGCAAGTCACTCTAAGAGATGAACAAGTCTGGAATTTTGACTTGGAACCATCTGCTTCAGATGGCCATTGTCTAGTCCCTTAGTATTACTACTCAGATGTCAAGAAATCCTTAGATAAAATGAGTTTCTCAGCTGAAGTCAGACCCACTGGATGGTCCTTCTGGGAGTGAGTGTGAGGAAGGGTGACAGACTCCTTGGTTACCCTCAACTTACACAGCATCCAGCCTTGTTCCATTGAAAGCATGTCCTTGGACTGAAGTAAAGCCATTGTTGTAGAGTTTCCTAAAATCAATTGAAAGAGAGAAAAAAAGTCAATGATTTATGTTTCAGGACGGAGCTCAGTGATAGAATGCTTGCCTAACTGTATGTACAAGGCCCTGGGTTGTTGGATTCCCAACACTGAATAAATAAGTAAATAAACCTGGTGGCCTATAGGATGTGGTGCTGTTCCTAATTTAAATGTTGGACTTCATCTCTTCAGCATCAGAACTATGCATAAAATTTCACGTCAGCCACATGCACTTGACAAGAAAATGTTACAGTTGCCTCATTTTGGGCATAGGCTGTCTCCAGTTTGAAACTCTATTTTCCAGAATATTTAAGTGTTAATAAATTAGCCTTTCCTCAGAAGCCTGTTTACTTTGAAGAAGAAAGGTTTGCAAAGGACTTTTTAGAAAATGGGCACATAGATCAAAGTAAAGGAGTTTCAGGTGATAGCTAACTCGTGCCAGCAGTAGAGGTGTGACTGCAGTTCCTTGAAATAACCACTTGCAAAGACATTGTTCTAAATGTACAGATTTTCTACTTAAAATGGTTTTTTTTGCATACTTAAAAAAATCTATTTATCCTTAGAGCATATCACATACTTAATGGGTGTAGGCTGAATTAAATTGAACTTCACAGATGAATCTAAGAAAGTAGACAGACCAGGCAGGGCTGGAGAGATGGCTCAGTGGGTAAGAGCACTTACTGCTCTTGTGGAGCACCCAGATTCAATTCCCAGCACCCTCATGGCAGCTAAAACCATCCATAAATCCAGTTCCAGGGGATCTGTCACCCTCTTCTGGCCTCCTCAGGCATTGCACACACATGGTATACTTATGTACATGCAGGCAGAACACTCATGCACATAAAAATTAAAAGTTAAAGACGGTAAACCATACTCCTGTAATTTTCATGTTTCAACATGTTGTGTTTCTGCAGCTAATTAATTTTTACCTCAGTTCCCAAGAGCCAGTCAGAGATGTTATCACCCCCATTTCCAAGTGAGGTCACTGACACTTGCCAAGAATCTAATAGTCTAAAACTATTGGTAATTAGGATCCCTGACCTCAAACAATATTCTTCTCACCCACCAGAAGCATACACCTCTGCAGGAGAAGGAACCCCAGCTGTTGGAAGTCTAGGATATGTGGTGGTACATGTGTGCTGGTGGTTGCTAGTGTAAAGAGAAGAGAAGAGAAGACAGCCAGGTATTGCTAGGGACAATCAGGTACTGGGAATTTCTAGTGACAGCCAAGGAGAACTTTAACAGTAATTGTAATCGCCTGCATATGCACCCTGGTAACACAGGAAGTACAAGGAAGACTTCAAGTTTGCAGCCAGGCCTAGCTCTGCCGCTTAATAGCTGTGTGATCAGAGACTCTCTTATCTTCTCACATCCTGTTTTTTTAATCTCTAGAAACATGATGATAATGCCTGATGAGAGGTTGCTAGGGAGACCAAATCACTATGTATCTAATAATATGGATGCTTGCAAGATAGCCATGTTAAAGGAGCATCCTAAAACTTAAATTTATTCTAGATAATTATGAGGAAGTGAGGATAATATGGTTTTGTTGTTATTTATGCTTTTGTTTTGTTTTAAATAATTATTCTACTAGTGAGTTTAATTCTAGCTACTAGCATATTGTGGGTGAGGACTGAGTATGTTTCCTAGGGACTCAGCACAGAGACTGAGAAAGTGCTAATGGCTCTGTTCACTTTCTCTGAGCCTCAGCTCTTATACAAAGATGTGACGATTATGTACATTTTAATTTTTTCAAAGTTTGTTAAGTTTCATGAACATTGAACATGTTCTTGATGGGCTGGGGAGATGGGTCAGCCAGTTAAACACTGGCCACACAAGCATGAAAACCTGAATTCGGATCCTCAGAACCCACTTAGAAAGGCAGGCATGGTAGCACGTACTTGAAACTCTAATATTGGGGGTGGGGTGAGATGGAGACAAGTGGCTTTCTGAAACTCTTTGGCCAGTCAACCTAGCCAAATGGACAGGCTTCAAGTTCAGCCAGAGACCCTATCTAAAAAATAATAAGAGTTGGGATTGATCAAGGAAGATCACCCAGTGGCTACTTCTGACCTCCACATGTACGCGCACATACACATACGTACACTAACAAATAGATACAAATGTATACACACTCTCACACACAGACCAAAAAAACTGATTTATCTTTCAGAGATTAAATAAAAGTTCATGGATAAATAAGTCTTGAAAAATGTAAATATCGAAGAAAGATAAAAGATGGCAAACTTTGATTCAAAGTGCTCTACAGGCACAAACATGCATTGCACATTTCAAAACTTTTGAGCAAAAGCATCAAGAAAGAAAAGGCTTTTGCAAGAATAGATTTAAAAACACCATCATGGTAGTGCATGCCTTTAATCCCAGCACTTGGGAGGCAAAGGCAGGGGAATCTCTGAGTTCAAGGCCAGCCTGGTCTACATAATGAGTTCCAGGTCAGCTGGGGCTACCAAAAGACTTTGTCTCAAAAAGACCAAAAAAAAAAAAAAAAAAAAAAGATACATTTGAAAAGGTGGTGGGCAAACCCATGCCATTCTAAAATTTACAGCTAGGAAATTAATAGTAAGTCCCCTCATTGTGAGTTTCTAACACTGAGCCCCATGCAAGGTATGGCACAGCAACCAGCTTTCATTTGAGAGGTTGCCTGGGAAAGGAGGTCCTGAGGAAAAGATATGAAAGGGGGAAGATGACGTTCTGCAAAGAAGCTGAGAATGTAGGAAAGTACACTAACCAGGACAACAGAAGCCTCTGCAGAGGGCACATATGGCCTTGAAGTTTGGGACTGAGCTGCCAGAAGAAATGGTGGCTGAGATGTAATCTCTTGTCTTTTCCAAAAGTTCACCCATATTGTGAAAAGGTTGAGTTGAAGTGCCCCATGGGTTGGATGCTCAGCAGCTGAGATAGTCCACATGGCCTAAATGGATGCCTTTGGAATGGCCTGGAAAGGGGCCTCTTGGAAAATTGTGTGGAGGCTTAGACCCATTTGGCAGGGAGTAACTGAATCAGGTTACATCTTATAAAGAAGCTTACAGTGTGACCAGAGAGGCAGGGAACTCAAGTGACCATACGGGTAAAAACCAGCAGGACTGAATAGGGGTGGTTTGGTATGGAAAATAGAAGGGACCTGCAGAGGTGGCCTTAGCTGTATTTTGTGGTTAACACAATGAGAGGAGAGCTTTCCACCAGCTTGAAGAACTGATTTTGTATCTCTATGACCATACTTCATGACCATCCTGATTTAGCATCCATCTTTGTTTGCTTCTCTGTTTTTAAAATAGGGTCTGGAACTTGTTATGTAGCTGAGGATGATCTTGAACTTCTAGAAGTTCCTCCTTCCTCCATCTCCACAGTGCTGGGATTCCAGGTTAATGCTGCCGTCCCCAGTTTATGGGGTGCTGGGGATCAAACCTAGGGCTTTAGGTATGTTAGAAAGCACTTTACCAACTAAGCCTACACCCTCAGCTCTCAGTATCTACTTTTGAACATCCAAAGAACAGATTACGAATACTGAAAAAAAAAGACCACGTTTTCTATTTAACATTCCTCCACAGGATGTCATTATGATTTCTGAGCGGAAGTAACATTGAAGAATATTGAAGGCCTTTACTGGCACCACTGTCTAATTCAGTAAACTTGTGATTTGCTCTGTATAGATTCTTTCTTTGTAGAATAGGGATATTTGCATAAAGTATTGTGTCATGAATCCTGTAGATTCTACTTCCTGTTTCTGTAAAGAAAACTTATTTGTGACATGAGCATGCCCAATGGTTTATGTATGTATTTGGCTGCTTGTGCCTTGTGGCAGAGATGAGCAGTTGCTACGAGGCGGTATAACATGACCAGCCCAACTGGCCCTTCACAGAGCAAATATACCAACACTTGCCATAAGGGAATATGCATATCTTATGAGCTCAACCTGTTTCTGGTCTATAGACTATCATACCACAAGGCAATACTCATGTAATTATATGAAACCCCTTTCAGACCACAGAGTGCATGTTATAAGGTAGCATGCTTCTGGGCAACGTCTGGGGTCACTGACTTGACACGTTGGGCCTTAACGCGGATGACAGAGTATATGGGTTCCACTGGGGGGGTGTAGGAGGGTGCTAGTGGGGATGGGGGTATAAAGATGATTAAGATTGTTTGAGATATTTTATATGAAATATACAAAAATTCAATTAAAAAAAACAAAAAATCCAACACATCTTTAGTCTGTAAAACTACAACAACGGCCCCAAATAAAATTCAGATGTTGGCAGGATCGAGCCTGGCAATACTCACAGTGTCAAGGTTTCATTACAGAGTCCTTGAAATGCATTCTCAGGGATTGAAGTCATGTAAGGATTGTCTGTGATTTCACTGCAAGAGAAAGATGAAAACACTTGAAAAAAAAAGCTTTTATCCTGGAAATGGGCTCTTGTTGCACATCAGCGTTTAAAGAACCTGTCACAATACAGCTCACTGTATCTGTTTCCAAGTGTCATTAACCCTTTTCTAACCTCACGGCCACATGAGGTGATAAGAGTTGTCCTAGGTGGACACGCACTCAGAGGGAAGCATGCAGTAAGCAAGCTCAGATGTGAGTTGAGGTCTCCGATTTACTTTTTATCTTGAAGCAGATGGAACTCAGGGATCTGTAACACTATGTCCATAGCAACTAGAATTTTCTGTCAATAGAAGGATCGGGAAAAAGGGATCAACATATTTTATTTCATGAGTATTATTAGACTGTTCTCTATTTACAAAACTCTGCCAGGCAGGTGCTCCCAGAAGACTACTTATATTTTAAACAGAGCTTTTCTATAGCAAAGAAACATGGTCTTTTATTTTCCTGGAAAAACACTAAGTTTGAGCCAGGTTTATTGGTGCACACCTTTAGTCATAGCACTTGGGAGGCAGAGACAGGCAGATCTCTGCAAGCCTGGTCTCCATAGTGAATTCCAGGCCAACTGGGGCTACAGGGAGACCCTGTCTCAAAAAAAGACAAAAAATTGCTAAGTTTGGTGCTTATCATTATACATGTCTAATTCTCCCAACATATGCACTGTATCTTTTGTGCTACCAGGCAAGACAACTGATCTAAGGTGCAGGTTTTGGAAAAGAACACAAGGCAGATAATCTAAAGCATGGCTTTTGACTGTTCCATAAAACTCTATTCAGACAAAGGCACTTGGGTTTTCTAGTTCTTGGTTTCATTATCTGTTGAAAAGAAAAATAATGACTTTTATGTCTTACAAGGTAGTTGAATAGAGTAAATATTATTCATAGGAAAGGGTTTGAAAAACTCTTAGAAAATATGAATGATAAAGAATCATTGTTGTCATTACCCCCACTCAGTCATTCCCCTCAGTAAGCATGTGATGATTTCTTCCATTTAAAAATAAAATGGGGTTCATGGGGCGGGGGTAAGAAGTTTCTGTGGTTAAAGGTACCTGCCACAACCTGACTTTGATCCTTAGAACCCTCATGGTTAAAGGAAAAAACAACTCCAGAAAATTGTCCTCGGACTTCCACATGTGTGCTATGTTACTCTTGTACATACACACACACCACACATACACATATGTATATATATATACACATATATACACATACAAAATTAATTAATAAAGGTAAAAAATAAATCGGGCTAGGAATTAAGCTCAGTGATAGAGGTACTTCCCTAAAGTATATGAGGTCCCGGGTTTAATCACCAGAACTAGGAAAAAAAACCCAAAACCAAAAATACTCAAAATCTTTTCTACCTTCAAATATTGAGATATCATCTGCTCTCTTTTAATTGTAAAACTTCTGAAAGAATCGGTTTTCATTCCTCTCTCTAATTCTTCCCCTCCAGTTCACTCTTGAACCCATTCCATCTCAGCTTCTGTCTCCCACCATTCCACTGGGACTGTTCTTATCAGAATCATCAGTGATCCCCATTTAGCTAACTCATGGCCATGATTTAGTGCTGCCTCACTTCGTCCATCAGCATAGTTACCATGGTTACTGTTTTCTCCTTGAAACTATTGCTTTTCTCAGCTTCTACCAAATCCCATGACTGCCCTGCCCCCCCCCCCCAAGTTCTTAATAGTGGCAAATAAAATATACCAAACACTACATGTTGAGCATACTTACAGTATAAAGAATACATCTGTGGAGTAGACTTTGGTCAGGTCAGGAAATATTCTAAGTCCAGTATTGAAAATGCCACTAAATTACATGAAAAAAAGAAGAAGATTTTAGGAAAGAAAATACACAGGAAGTAGCATAAGGAAGTTTGAAAATGTTTTATTATTATTTTTATTTTATGAGCATGGGTATATTACTTGCATATATGTAAGTGCACCTGTGTCATGCAATGCCTGTGGAGCTCAGAAGAGGGCATCGGATTCCTCTAGAACTGGAGTTACAGGCAGTTGTTAACTGCCATGTGGGTACTGGGAACCTAACTTGGGTCCTCTGCCAGAATAATCTGTGCTCCTAATTGCTGAGTCATCTCTCTAGGCCCAGAAGTTTCTTAAAACATGACTTTAGGAAGCAAATTCTAACTCCTCCACTAATTATCTCATGACTGATGGACAAGGGCTAACCCTAGGCTGAAATGATATTCCTTCAGTGCATAGAAGTTTAATCCAATGTAGTGATATATTTGCTTTGCTTAGAGAGAGAGAGATCTTTGTTTCAATTGGAAGACATTGTATATATGGTTGGGATGGGAGGGAAAAGGAGGACAGTGGAGGAACACATGCCCCCTCACTTCAAGTCAGCATTCTTGTTTCAAATTCTACATTATATTGCATTATTATTTTGGTAAGAATGACAGCAGTAACCTGAGCATACCCAGCGGTACCATTTAAACCACATGCCAAAAAAAGAAGAATTTGAAAGACAATGTCTTCTTCCAAGGTTCATACCATAAAGGAAAAGAGGTCAAGATTAAAAGATGTTCAAAATATATTATGAACAGAGCAACTCAGAGACTCCTGAGGCCTCCAAAATTTAGTTGGTAGAGCATGTCTTTACAGTTACTAGACTGTGTCTAGAGAACAGAATGTGCTTTGAGAGGCTTGGTATAGTGTGGGATGAGACCTAAATACTACCCAGTAGAGCTTTGGAGAGGGTTTTCTTGTACAAAGTAGCTCAAGTGTCATTGATACGTGTTCAAAGGCAAATTCAGCCTTGACTCCTTCTAAAGAAGAAGGCATAGGGTTTGAAGAGGCAGCCGGACCCAAAGAACTCAAAATGAGTAACGGGATATTCCAGACAACAAAGGAGAGAAGCAACACTAATAGGTGTCCTGGGTGTGGCAGCTAAATTGTGGTTGGTGTTCATATAAAGGAATAGGCAGACAAGACCAAAGAGGTAAACGGGGGCCATCAAGTAAAGGGCCAGCCGTGAGACTCAAGAGACTTGAATAATGACCTCTCTACTCTTCAAACCTCCTAAAACCAGTTCCTTTCTCTGTTGTTTCCCTTAATGATCTGATTGACCACCAATTGATTTGGAACTCTAAATCCATAAAAGGGGTTATTTTGTCCCAGAAGATATCTTTCAATTACACATCTCATTACTTCTGGCATCTCTCACTCCCACCTCTTCAACATGGGACTGTTTCTAGTTCCCCCAAGTGAACCACATGGTTCCATGCTTCTGTCTTTATGGGGGCACCCCAGCCCCTTGTGGGCCCCTTTGTTTCCTGAATACCTCTATTTACCCTGAAAGATTTACCTCATCAAATATTCGTGGGGATTTTTTTTTAAATTTTTTAATTTTTATTTTTGAGACAGGGTCTTCTTGTAGCCCCAGCTGTCCTGGAACTCACTATGTAGACCAGGCTGGCCTTGAACTCACAAAGATCCTCCTGCCTCTGCCTCCCAAGTGCTGGGATTAAAGGCATGCACCACCATGCCCAGCCCTGGGATATATTTTTATCTTGAAAGCCTGGGTGGAAATGAATGTAATTGTTAATAGTGATTATGTCTGGGCATGGGGATTAAGGTTGATTTTTATTTATTTATTTTTTGGAGGGGAGTTCTTTTTGAGACAGGGTCTCCCTCTAGCTCCAGATGGCCTGGAACTCACTATGTAGACCAGGCTGGCCTTGACCTCACAGAGATCCACCTGCCTCTGCCCCTTGAGTGCTAGAATCAAAGGCGTGCACCACCACGCCCAGCTGATTTTTATTTATTTTTATTTATTTATTTATTTATTTTTTATTTTATGTCTATGAGTGTATTGCCTGCATGCATGTAAGTGCACCCGTGTGTCATGCAATGCCTGTGAAGTTCAGAAGAAAGTGTTGGATTCCCTTGGAACTGGAGTTGTGGATAGTTGCTAGCTGCCATGTGGGTGCTGGGAATCATACCTGGGTCCTCTGTGAGAGCAGCCAGTGCCCTTAACCACTGAGCCATCTCTCCAGCCCCAATTTTTATTTTTTATACTGTTTTTGTTTCCTATTTCTTTATAATACACTAAACAGGAAAGGAGGTTCTGCCAACTATTGTGTAGAGACTATCATGTCAAATATACACATCTATTCAACACATTTTCCTTGAGCACCTACTGTGTGCCAGGCAGTAAAGATGAAACAGAACCAAAATGTTGTGGTTCCTGCTCTCATGGAGAGCCAGCCGAAGCAAAGCATACGTGGTGTATCCTTCCATTTTTTTCCTTCCCCACAAGAGAGAAAATTTAACCCTTTGTGGCTTTGTTTTTTGCTGTATTTCCAATAAATACAAATAAAAATTAAAATTTCCAAACAAAAATGACAGTTGGTTCTCAGGATTGTTTTGTTTTGTCCTGTGATACCACCCTCAAAGACTCTGTATACTATAGCATTTTCTTCCTCTTGGCTCTTGGAGTAAGTTCCTGGTCACAGAACTAGGTGCTGACTTTTGGGATAGGCTTTAAACATGTGAACCATCTCACTTGGTGCCTTGTTGATGGGGAGAGGTGGGACTTCACAAGATGTGATTTGACTGAGCCATCCATCATTAAGTGATGCTAGAAAATATCATCCTAGAGAGATTCCTGGGTGACAACAGCATTAAAACTCTAAAAAAATGTGTGATGAGAAAGAAGTTAATACTTACAGGAACTTCAGAAGGGGGAGCTCTGTTAGGGCATCAGGGTCTATGGAAGTTAAGCTTCTAGTGTTCCGAATTTCTCTGTAAAAGTTATAAGGAGCACTGTCACCAAAACACGCACATTTCTGCTTTTACTAAAGATAAATCAGGTATAGCAAATGCTCATGAGACTATGCATTTATGTGGTGTTACAGGGACTATATTTCCTCAACCACAGACTCCTATCTCCTTTCTCTGGGGACAAGATGGCTATAGAGACCTCATGCAACATGGACTTGATCTCAGCTGAGGTGAGCAGCTGAGGACAGACATCTTTACTATTAACAATGGCTGGGAATCTGGCCATGACAATGACCACTGGCATGGGAGTTTCAGTGAATCATGATGAAAATGAAAACATTGCAAAAAGGGCCGAGAGGTCTGTCAGTTGCTGTTACAGATGAAAGGGAAAGAATGAGCTCAAATGGTTCCTTGAGTTTATTTTGTGATGTCAATAATGTAAGACTTCAGCATGTGTTGTGATATCATATGTGTCTGTAATTTACATACTTAGATTTATACTTATGCAGATCAAGAATGTTTAATTATCATTAGTGACAAAGCAGCTAGTAAAATTAAGCATTTTTTGACACATGTGGATTGGCTAAAAGAGGTTTAAAGGCACTCCCTGTGCTGATAGGAGACGTAGGTAAGATCTCTGTAGGACCTGTGGCCTTTGCCATTTGGGGTTGCTCTTAGGCTTGGCTCCTAATGGGACTGTGTACAGTTGCCCATGGCACTATTTGGAAAGCTTAGAATCTGATCTTTGTAATTTTAAAAGACTTGTATTGAAGGAGAATTTTCATTCCACAAAATTCATGCATTGTAGGTATGTGGTTCAATACTTTTTAGTGATTTTTACATAACTGTGCAACCACCATCACAATCCAGTTTTAGAACACAGAGCATTTCTCTTTAAAAAGATTTATTTTACATGCCATGTGTAGTGATACATTTTTAACTCAGCACTTGGGAGGCAGAGGCAGGCAGATCTCTTGGAGTTCAAGGCCAACCTGGTCTACACAGCGAGCTCCAGGCTGGCTGGGGCTACAGGGAGGCCTTGTCTCATAAAGAACAAATAAACAAAAATAGATTTTTTTTACATTTAATTATGGCTGTGTGTGTGTGTGTGTGTGTGTATCTGTGTGTGTATGTGCATGTGAGTGCAGAGAATAGAGTTGTAGCATCCCCTGGAGCTGGATTGACAAGTAGTTTGAGCAGCCTGACATGGGTGCTGGGAACTGAACTCAAGTCCTTTGCAAGAGCAGTATATACTCTAACCACTGAGCAATCTCTCCAGCCCCCAGACCATTTCTTTCAGTGACGAAAGTTGCCATATAGACATTTGCAGTTAATGACTAGTCCTTCCTTGGCAGAGCTGATCTATCTTTTCCTCTTTCCTCTTTCCTCTTTCCTCTTCCCTCCCCTCCCCTTCCCTCTCCTCTCTTTTCTTCCCTTCTTTTTCCTCTTCCTTCCCCTCTCCCATTTTTCTTAGCACTAGGGATCAAACCCAGGGCCTCATGCATGCTAAGCAATTGCTTAACCACTGACTCCCAGCCCCCATGTGTCTGCTCTATAACATCTCTATAACTTTGCCTTATTGTGAACATTTCCTACATATAGATGCGTATAGCAGGTAATCTTTTCTACTTCTTTAAAAAATTGAATTTATTTCATTATTATTTTATGTGTATGAGTGTTTTGCCTGCATGTATGTAAGTGCGCCTGTGTCATGCAATGTCTGTAGAGGCCAGAAGAGGGCATTAGATCCCCAAGAACTGGAGCTACAGAAGGTTGTTAGCCACCATGTGGGTGCTGGGATCCAAACCCAGCCTCTCTACAAGAGTAGCCAGAGGTCTCAACTGCTGAGCCATCTCTTCAGCACCCTGTTTTATTTCTTTCACTTAATGTCTGTGAGATGAGGTTTATCCATATTGTAGCTGTATCTGGACTTTGCTCCTTCTCACTGTTCAACAGTCAAATGGATCTGAGGTAGAATCAGCTCTGCCACTTCTGGCCACATAGTTTTGGACAAAGTCCATGAGCCATACATCCCTCACCCGTAAATAGGGACAATAACAGCACTTCCTCCTTCAGCAGGCTCTTGTGAGGATTAAAAAATAGCTGTAAGGGATGTGACATGTCTTACAGTAGAAAGCTTTCCATAAATAATGGCTTTATTATGGTTATTTTCACAAGAACAACAAAAGCTAGAGCATCAAGGACTTAGGTGCTGCACTGTTCTAGAGGCACTACAATGTTCTTGCAAAAACTTATTTTAAACCTATGCTGGATCAGATAGCTAAACTAACGACACTGGGTATGAAGTAGACCTTGAAAGAGTGAGGATGAATTTGAGAGTTGAAACCATCTACCTCCTATCTTCCATATATATATATATAC